GTTTAGACTGTTTAAACCGCTGTCTTCTGACGTGTGTGCCTGTGTAAGTCGCATAGATTTTACGAAAGTTTCCGAGAAGCATTCTACCTTAGTCTTCCAAGTAGAAGAGCCATCCCTGTTAATATGGAGGCAGCCAGTTACAGAACAGCTAGCAACAGTCTACGTTGCTACTAGACACCAAACCCATAATACAGAAATATTTCTTACGTCGTATATCCTTTCAAATTTTGTACATTCCTGATCCTTCCGTCCGCACTATGGCTCTGGGATCGACTCAGCCTCTAACACAAATGAGTACCAGGAATCTTCTTGGAGGTTAAAGGGCGGCCGGTGCGTAAGGCTGACAACCTCACCGCCATCTGTGAGCCGATTGTCTAGAAAATGTGTGAACCTCGACGTCTCACAACCCTATGGGCCTCCGCGGTCTGTTACAGGGATACTTTCACTTTACTTTTTTTACTCTAACTTTTATATCTGTTTATTTCTCCGCAGTTAACTATTGTTACATAGGCATACAGCTCCAGTGCTGACAGAGCGACTACAAGGTACACGATCCCGCAAGGTGCCGACCGAACTCAGACGATGAGACAGCCAGTTTACTTGGCTGTAATGATGGACGAGCGGTGAATAATTGAGATGGCGTCTAAGTGGAAGCAGTCCTGACTGATCTGCTGTAATGAAATATTAAATTAGAAACTTCAGTAAACCGTCTGCTTCTCCTACACATATCTGCCATTAGTTGCATGAAGATTTCACACACATTCCTACGTTGCTTACTGATGCAACTCGTCTCCAACCATCATTTCACTGAGTTATTAACGGCATTAGAGAATATACACACTGAACCTACCTACAAGAGTACAACACGGGTTGATGTGGCAAGTCGCGTTCACAAAAGTTTAAGTCATTACATTTATATTGCACAAGGACCAGTTAGCCAGTTGCCCGCTGCGTACTCACCACGAAGCCACATCAATTTTTTTTCCTTGGCACTACAGCCCCAGTGGGCCTAGACCTACCTCCATGAACTTCTACGGTCCCTGTGATTACCTAATTAAATATTACGCCATGAAGGCGTATGGGGGAGTGGACATATAGACAAATATTTTCTTGACCTTGGCACTAGTTGGAGGTGACTGATCAGCTTCACGTCTTGGATTCTTTACCTCCTGGTAAAGAGACCCCGGTACCTATTGGATAGAGGCTGGGTTGCCCCAGATCCAGTCTGGACGACATGGAGAAGTAAACATTTTTGCCCTCACCGGAACTCAGACTCCGACCCCTAGGTCATCCTGCCCGTAGCCAGTCGCTATACCGACTGAGCTATCGCGGCTCATATCATTTCAGTACTGAATTTAATATCTTAATGTTAACTGTGGTATTTGTCTAACATATTTTTATATGCTTAGTTTAATGTCTTGGAGATTAACTTATGTATTTACCATATTCTTGCCGCACTGAACGTAGTATATGTTTTTCATCACACATATTCAAAATAATATTTGTCTAAGCTTTATCTTCAGTGTTACTCGGAGCAATGCAGTAGCAAAGTCTGACGTCCCAGCTATGACAAGGCGTGGGGCGAGCTGTTTCCACTGCAGACGCTAAAGCAACAACAAACTTGTGATGGATGCGGTTAAGGAGGGACGGGAGATAAGCAGGTGGCCTAATTTTGATAAAGACAGGAACATTTTACTGCTACAGAGATGTGGATGATGTGTGGCATAAGAAGGAGATTTATTATGAAGTAGACGTGACAAGCACCTCCAGCAGACTGGCGACACACAGTCATCAGAAAGACGACACTTTGGAAACAGAGCTAGATAAGGAGCGAAATTTCGTATTTTGTCGCTTGTCGCGTATATGAACCGTATCCTTAAATCTGAATAAAATTATTGCAGTTATGTTGTTGGTAATATTTAAATCACACATCGATGTTGAAATCAGTTTAATCAGGTGTACCCGAACCACTACGCACCTACATACAGATCTGCTGGGTGGCGGGTCGAGCGTCTGGTAGAAACAGGGAGTGTCCTGCGATAGAAAGGGCCTTCACGTAGCACAGTGACCCATGTCAGTGTCGAAAGCATAAGCAAGTAATTTCGTAGGAGCCCACGTAAATCTACAAGACGAGCAAGTTTAGAATTCGCATTGCCTGTCTCAAATGTGCACGACGTTTCGTCCAAGAGGCTAAAATCGCCGTTTTATAGGCTTCAACTGCTCCCGATACAACACAACGATTTGAGTTCGAGGAAACGCGTTGTTTCAGTAATGCTTTCAGGTACTGAAGAAGACAGGACTGTCATCAAAACGATTTTTTTTCTGGCGAAGGTACGTTCTATTTGTATGGAACGATCACCAGTCGTCATGGCCGTGATATTTCTCATGAAACTACTAGACATGAGCGTGATTCACCGAGGGTCAACACGTGGTGCTCTGTTATGAAAATCAGTATCCGTCTCCTCATTGTAGAGGAGCCTACAGTGGCTGATGGAAAGTTCCTAGCTAAGATGGAAGACATTATTTTGCATCATGATCCTCCACGGGCACTTCCCCACTCGGACTGTGCCCCACATCATTTCTCCGCCATGTTCGTGCCTTTATGGACGGGGAGTTCCCTGATTGTTGAGCAGGAAACAGGGACCCAGTTCTCTGGTCTCCTTCGGCCTTCTGGTCTTATTCTTTTATATTTTTTCGTTTTCATAACTTGTACTCTTCTTATAATTAGGATGATTAAGTCAAGGAGGATGAGATGGGCTGGGCATGTAGCACGAATGGGAGAGAATAGGAGTGTATATAAGATGTTGGTGAGAAAGCCGGATGGAAAGAGACCACTGGGAAGACCAAGACGTATGTGTATAGACAATAATAAAATTAATCTTAGAGAGATAGAATGGAATGGTATGGATTACATTGATCTGGCTCGGGATAGGGACAAGTGGAGGGCTCTTATGAACACGGTAATGAACCTTCAGGTCCCATAAAATGCTGGGAAATTCTCGAATATCTACACAATTGGCGGCTTCTCAAAAAGGACTCAGCTCCATGAAGTTAGATTATATCGCATGTGTTTCACGTAGGAAAGGAACGAAGAATTCCAGGGCAGTGTCTCCCAGGATCTGAAACCTTGTATTTCGGTTACATGCTCTGCTTAATCTTCCAAACCGAAGATTGAGGAAGTTTGTTACACAAAAACGTCGATAGATTTTGTCGGACTGTAATAGGGCGCCACATCTAAGGAAACATTACTCTTCTTAGAGAAATTGATTAGTAATTATTCAGTGACAGTTTTCTTGAAGTTATCTAACTATATTGCTTCAGTTCATACGAAACTGGAAAATAATAATAATAATAATAATAATAATAATAATAATAATCACTTCCTTTTTGAGAATTCGCCAATTGTTCAGCTACTCAAGGACTCCCCAGCATTTTATGGGACCTGTAGGTTCATTACCGTGTTCACAAGAGCCCTCCGCTGGTCCTTATTCTGAGCCAGATCAATCCAATCCATCCCATCCCATCCTATCTAGGATCCATTAGAAATATCGTCCACCCACTTACGCCTTTCTTTCCAAGTGGTCTCTTTCCTTCTGGCTTTCCCACCGATATCCTATATACATTCCTCTTCGCCCTCATTCGTGCTACATTCCCTGCCCATGTCATCCTCCTTGACTTGATCATTGTAATTATATTTGGAGAAGGGTGCAAGTTATGAAACTGAAAAAAAAATAATAATATGTAGGTAAGTAAGGAAGTAGAAGTTTTTGTCTCATATTTCAAGGACATATTCCAATATTCATTTTTTCCTGAACATGTGGGCAGCATATTTCTCCGAAATGTGTGTGGATTTCTATCTGAATGCACGGAGTCACTTCCCAGAAGATAATTCTCTTCTTATTCACCGCCATGAGAACATCAGGTCCAGCATACACCAAGAGTAAGCTTTCAGTTCAAGGGACGGAACGTGTCTGTGCTAGCTTCGTTGAGTTTTATGTAAACTGCAAACATTTTTAGGGGGAATATTTATATAAAGAGAAACGAATAGGTGTGTTGCGTGTTTCGCTAGCAGTTGAAGCGTCAGTTAGTTCCAGTCTGGTATTCCTTGAAGAATAGCATGGCTTTCAGTTTGTCCAAAAGGTCCTCTAGTATCATGTGTGTTTGATGTTACAGTATTTGAACAGACCTCAACCACACATTTCTCCTACTTTCCTCAAATCAGCGTAGAGCTTTCTGGCCAGTGGGCTTGTACAAACTGTACTTCAGTCGCTCTGACGGAAGCACCGCACACACACACACACACACACACACAATGATATATGTCTGCTCTTATGTGCCCCTCACGCTGACTTCCTGTTTGACCACAGGACTTCCGAGTCTAATCAGAGCCGGTTCTACACATTGTATATAATATTTCAATATTCCTTATAAATTGACTGATATATAGTTTAATATGTGTGCTACTCGCTTTAACGTCTCGGAACTATTAATTTTCCCCACAGGGTTGGTTTATTGATTTCGTATCGTTCTCAGAATGAAGAATTGAATTTTCTCTTCTCACGTCGTCCAGACCCGCTCTGGGGCCCATCCAGCCTCCTATCCAATGGGTACCGGAGGATGTTTACCACTCACCCATACGCCTTCATGACGTAGTGCTTAATTAGTTAAGCAGAAGGACAACTTTTGTTTTCTTTTTTTTTCCATTTGCGCTACAGGTGGATTTTTCAATCTACCTAATCCTTCCAGCCGCACTACCTACCTGGGGTCGACTCAGCCTCTTAAGAGAGATGAGTACCAGGAATATTCCTGGGGGTAAAGGGCGGCCAGCACGTAAGGCTGACAACTTCACCGCCATCTGTGAGCAGATTGCCTAGAAAATATGGGAGCCTCAACATCTCATAACCCTATGAGCCTCCACAGCCTGTTACAGGGATACATTTACTTGCTTTTAATTTTACTTTTAGATGTTAATTAATAACTGCTTTATTGTCTGCTTTCAGATGGTCATTGTGATACTGAATCTTCTTAGAAGTCACTTTTACAAATGGTGCAAAGATAAGGATCGCTTTAGTTCCCTTTCGACCAGAAGGGGTAAGTAAATTGAACTTATGTACTTACACAAAATCTATGCTACATTTTTTATATATATTGTATCCTGAAGAAAAGCAAGTATAACTTTTTTATGTTTTTTACTTAATACAAGAATTTGTTCGGACATTTCATAGTAAAATTTGATATGTTTAAAAAGAGTTCTATCATCTGGGATATTATGTCGTGTGATTTCGTTGAAAGTCTGCGGACTTTTCGGGGTAACGTCGCCTACTTTTTCAGGGTCGAAGAATAAGCCAAACAAGATATCAGTGCGAATCAGGTAGCAAGCAGAGCAAGATTATTTCTCTGAAATGTCTTGTTGACTTTCAGCGGACTACAAAGGATTATATTCCAGAATATAGAACTCTCCATAAGCACCGCTCGTGCAGATTCCATTTAACTCTGCAATTCAATGTTAATGTGATTGATTGATTGATTGATTGATTTACAAACTACTTTGTGGGATCGCCCATGAGACCGAAACATGCAGGGCCTGGCTGAAGCAATAACATTTATTGAACCATTAATTTTTTATTTTAATCGATTTTATTAATATTTATTTACTACGCTGCTGTGTTGACGGCTCCCTTAACACGATATGCTCTACAGGCTTGTGGGTATGAAACTTGGTCTGTCAGTCGAAGGAAAGAACGGAGACTGAAGAGTATTTGCGACAAGTTTTTCTCGGGACTCTTGAGTACTGAGACCACGATATTCTGACAAAGGACTACAGGACGTCATATCACAGAATACAGAAATCTCTTAATGTGGGGGTGCTTGTGAATGGCGTGTAGAAGAGAATGCTAGATCTAAGAGGAGATAAGTAAAGATAGAATAGAGGAAATTGCTTTTGTGTTGCTTCACATTTTTGTACCCTTCAACAGATAATCGGGGGGGACGCAGTAACGTAGTTGATTGAGGCACTATGTTACAAGCGGGAAGGTCGAGGGTTCGAGTCCCAAAGAGGTGGATATTTTTCAGTTGACCTAATCCTTCCAGCCGGACTATGGCCCTGGGGTCGACTCAGCCTCTAACAGAAATGTGTACCAGGAATTAATTAACTAATTTTACTAACAATTTTACCGCCATCTGTGAACCGATTGTCTAGAAGAAATGTGGGGTCTCGGCGTCTCATAACCTTATGGGCCTTCACGGCCTGTTACAAGGATAGATTTACCTTTTCTCTTTACTTTCTTCATCAAATAATTTGTCGGGTTGATCAAAGTAAGGAATATGAGATAGGTGGGTTAGAAGGCCGTAGAAATTTGAAGATTTAACTAAGAATGTTATTAATATTTNTGAATTGAATTGAAATGAATATTGCTGGCTGACAGAACTGGGAAATATATTACGTTTTATTGATATATAAATAAAAGTGGGATAAATATCACACACTTGCGCAGTTACTACACGAAAAGCATTGTTAATCAGTACTATTATTGTCACTTCGTGGCGAAAGTCGTAATGATCATAATGTTACAAGAATGACGGCACACAATGATAATTTTAGCCCATTTCGTTAAAACCATACTCTCCGTGGCATCAACATATTGTCACGTTTCCGGGGTCGCGTGACTAATAGTAACGGGTTATGGATTGGATGATTGGATTTATTGACGTCTTCTCTTACAGTCACTCTTAATTACAGCCAATTGCAACAACTCACAACCAGTCTACTGCCGAGGACTCGCTCCATTTTCGTTCCTCTCTCTCTCTCTCTCTATCAGTTCACTTACAGCTTCTGAACTGACTCAGCTTTCTCACGTGACCACTCTTTATAACTTGGGGAAGAACCGTATAGAGATCACGGCCAAAGTTTCCACTATTATTGCGTGCTTATTCGTTGCTGCGGATAAGTGTTTAGCGAGCCGATGTCTAGCAATGGACGTCTCTGAGGTGCTTCTTTAACTGCATACACTTCCGGCGTTCAGGCGTAATGTCATAATATTATTATAACTTTCAGGCGCATCAGTCTGATATTTGAGCGTACTAAGCATCAATTCCTTCATCATCATCATCATCAGTAATCTGTCAAGACGACAGGTCCACAGTCTCTTTCAAAACAATTCCTCCACTTAATGCGATCTAGAGCTTTCTCCTTCAAATGACAGTATCATCTTCTGTTCCCAAGGTCATCCAGCATCTTCTTACGTCTTCTTCCTCGTCTTCTTGTCACTTCTATCCGCCCATCTGTCNTATTGACTTCCTGCCCACTGTCTTAATAATTTCGTGCTGATTGTGTGACAGATTGAAATATTACCGAGCGACAAACTGATGGTGGATGATAACCGCCGTTATTGATTGATCATTTTTTAACCTGCTGATTATCTAAAGACAGATCTCTTCTTTGGGTTATTTAACTACACTTCTCCAGTATCGAGATCATGTGCCGTAAGGTTGTATGGTCATAAGTGAATGAAGAATTTGGAAGGTAGCGGTCGTGGCCTACTCGAGGCACTATTCAGGTATTTACCTGAGTAAGGAAACCCACGAATAATTTTAGGAAACTCTTTGTCCTGATCTGAATTTGAATGGAGCACCTCTTGAACAAAGGTCCAGAATCTTATATCCAGACAAATGTATGCGGCGACCGACTGATTTATGGCCGTCTTTATTGACTGATGACTGCCTGCAATAAGTACTCATTGCTTGAGTGGTTTCCAGTGTGTATATACTTCATAGAAACACATGGCTTCAGTGCGCATGCCTGATTCTGAAACCTAGCCGCTGTATGCCAAGTGTCAGAGGCACTACATCGACCCTACGTGTAACATAATTTGAACCTCGAGACTCGTTTGAGTATTGCCGCTTGTTGGTCATCACTGGGAATATCTGCAACACAGACCAAATATCTGGATAGCAGCTGTGTGAGTTGCTACACAATTCCCACACAGAAAGCAAAACTAATAAATTTTGCAGGATTAACTTCCCACCTTCTGCACACACAGACTCTATTTATCTAATATGAAAATGTTTGTATATGAGGCACAGGGCTTCCCTTATTAACACAGAGCAGGAATTACGGTGAGAATGAAAGAGTAGCAGGGCTGGAATACTTACCACAGCTTTGGGCGGAAACAGTTCTCGCCTCCTCACAACTCTAATGCGTTACATTCTGTGTGTACAAAAGACTTAATTAAAAAAAAAAAAAGTACACAACTTGCAAAGATGTTACACGTGTACAGGAGTTTGGAGATTGAAAATGATTACTACATGAAGAATGTCTTGTGGGATGTGGAACAGTATATATATTGCGTAAACCGACGTTTCAGAGGAATATATCGCTTCCATCTTCAGGTTATAAAAATCCGCGAGCGAGGAACCAGCGAGAGTAGGTGGCTGCAGAAACTGTGGTATTGCCCCTACCTCATTCATGATCCTTTCCGAAAATATAGTTGAGAGTCGTCACTTTACACTGGTGGTGGGTGTGTACATTAAAAAAAATTGCTAGTGGGGTGGGACTAAATCTCTTGCACTGCGGCCACTTCTGGCCTATTGTACCAGCCCCAGATGATAGATGAGGGTGATTGTGGAGCAATTGGTGGCATGAAGATTGGCAGGAGGAACCGAAGTACTCGGAGAAATCCTGCCCCAGCGCCACTTTGTCCACCACAAATCTCACTTGACCAGACCCGGGATCGAACCCGGGCCGCCGTGGTGGGAAGCCAGCGACTAACCGCTTGAGCTATGGCGCGGCCTAAAAAAGAAGTAACTAATATTTAAAAATAAATCTTAAATCACAAGAGAAACTGCGTTGCTATTGCAAAGACTAACTGGTTAACGTTCTTTAAGAAAATACTCGCTGTTAATTGTGACAGTCATGAGTAATACGTAAATACACTGTGTGGAAATAATGCAGTGTTTCATAATGTTACAGTAGGTGAGCCTCTAGATATTTTTTGAAAATGCTCTTTTTTTTTCATTATAAAATTTTTATGTTGGATATTATCAATTTTCATAAGTACATTCAAATTTTGAGAGCTGGGTAGCTCAGTCGGTATAACGACTGGGTACGAGCTGGATGATTAGAGGGTCGGAGTTCGAGACCCGGTGGGGCATAAATTTTCATTTCTCCATGTCTTCCAGCCTGCTTTGGGGCCCACCCAAACTTCTATCCAGTGGGTATTGGGGGCTCTTTCCCCGGGGTTAAAGCGACCGGGACGTGAAGCTCACCACTCAAATCCAACTTGTGCTGAGGTCAAGAAAACGTGGATTTATTCATTCACTCCCCCATACGCCTTCATGGCGTCGTGCTTAATTAGTTAAGCAAAATTACAACTGTACCTTATCTTTACACTTAAATTTTACTTTCAGTAGTCAAGATTAGGGCCGGTTACGGTAGCCGAGCAGTCTAAGGCATGTACTGTCTTGTCTCGCTCGAAACCCACACAAAGGATGGGTGTTCGGTATGTTTATGTGTTTATTTTGTATTTGTGATGTGCTGTATTTAGGCAGAGACCTTGCGACGAGCTGATCACTCATCCAAGGAACTCTACCGTCTGTAAAAATGATAAAAATGAAAATAAACCTCGACACCTTAGGGTATAAGAGGAACGGACTAAGTAAGTCGAGATTAGGTTTGTCTGATTCTTTCCCCTTTTACAACTGATGATGGAAACAGAACTAGAATCCTAAACGTCTTACAATTGAAATATACATAACACAACGGACAACCACTTTCCTTTGAAGAGTCAGGTCTCCATGTGCAGCGGAAGTGACAGGCGTGTATCCTGCGAGAGCACGTGACTGCGATATCAGTATCGATTCAGAGCAACCTTAACGTATCAGTCCACCCAATATAGCCCGGCAATTGATTTCTATTGCAACTCAAACTTTCTTCTTTAATGGGGCACGAATTACTACAAAATCCACTTCACTGAATCCGATGAATTAATTGGATTCCAATATGAGAATTCAGTGGCAAAATTTTTATTTTTGTATTCTGTGCCATGACACAGTGTAACCAGGATATTTCTGTCATTATACTACGGCCGTTTCCT